ATGTCTATTGTTTACAAATTATTATCCACGACTGGCAGGATGCTTGTCAGTTGGTATGTAAGTATAATAATAATATGACAATAGTCGGACGCGTTTCCGTGGAGGTCGCTAACTTTGAGTGTCGGTCGGGCCGACCAGCGTGACGAGATCCCCAATGAAAAAAGCACTGCGGCAGTCTTGCTAATCACCGTGGTGGTGTTAGACCGGCGTGGCGGCAAATCGAAGCACTGTGGCGGGACCGCCACGCTGTTTACATCCTGGGGAGAACACTGCTAAAAGCGGAGCTATCTCAGCCGACAGGCTGCTTGTTATCCATTTCTTCTACATTATATAATCAGTAAAGCGGTAAAATGTATTTTTCTCTCTTCATGCACAATAATATTTTTACCGCAAGAACCCATCTTCCATTTTTCCAATGTGGGACCGCTTTTTTTCAATACTGGTAAATTGTTGTAATCTTCCAGGTAGTCTGAAAACGGGGACTTACATATATGTTTTGACCTCCGTGTGACCGTGCGTCCGTCCGTCCGTGATCCCCTGTATCTCGAACATGCATCAGTCCGTGCATGCGTCCGGACCTGTATCGTAGAAATTCCTGGACCAATCACAATCAAACTTCACAAATACATCATACATGATATTGTACATATGCACGTCAATTTGTTTAAAGATCTGATTTGTGATGGCCGAAAAGCGGCCATTTTTGTGCTAAAAAGTCATCAAAGTCAAGTATTTTTTCGGCTGTTTATGGATGGATTTTGTTCAAACCTTGTATATGCGTTGGACATTATAGGACCTTGATGCACATCATTTTGTTTTACGATCTGATTCAAGATGGCCGAATGGTGGCCATTTTTGAGCTAAAAAATCATAAAAATCAAACATTTCTCAGCTGTTTACAGATGGATTTTGTTCAAACTTGGTATATACATTAGACATTATGGGACTTTGATGCAACTAATTTTGTTTTTCAGATAAGATCCAAAATGGCCAACTGGCGGCCATTTTGTTTTAATGAATGTGGTTCTCGTGCCATATCTCTGACTTGCTTTCACTGATTATGTTCAAATTTTAAATATTCACTACGTTCAATTACCCACCATAGACTCCGGTCAGTCAAAATGACTATTTTGAACTGTAGGCATTAATCAGCGATTCTGCCGGTGACTGAGAGATAGAATCCAGGTCAGGGGAAGCCCCATGACCTCAAGATTCTTTTACCCCTTACGTCACGAACCCACGTGACCGAGGCCACCTGGCAGCACCACAGGTAGCTGTCCTTCACTCTTAATTTCTCTCCGCCTCGAGTGGAGATGAAATCTAGCGAGCTCTGCTGGATCGCCTGCTTTTTTTCCTGTCCGGATTTATAGCTTGGGTTGTTGCCGCTGCTCGGCATTCGACATGGTAGCTGGTAGGATAAGTTTTCCTTGTCTTTTTTTTTACCCTCGTGTCGTAGTCACATGTTGATTTCATGGCGGCACCTTTTACAACTGTAATTCGTCTCCCTCATGCATGTCGTCTTTTATTAGTCCCTGTT